TACCAACAGAATCGGTAATTTATTTTACCCTTCAAGACATTAATAAAAATAATAAGTAAAGCATAATAATAAACTACATGCAGCCTTTATAGACTATGTCCAGGCGTTTGATAAAGTGCGTCTAGAAACATTTTGGACAATATTAGGCATATAAGAACAAATGGATTTCCATGACATTGTAATCGAAACTATTATAATTCAGTACAGAGATATCAAGATTAAAATGAGCTTAATAAATAAATTGTTTTTCATAAATATTAATCACGGAGTACGATACGAGTATCATGTTTTAATGTTTATAAGTATGAAATTCTTTAAGAATGGAACAGAGGAACGTCTCTTAATATATGTAAATGACAAGTACGTAAGACAATATTAAAAACGGCTGACCAACTAAGCAACTTTTGGAATTAGGAATATTACATAAAAAGCAGACAGATAATTTCAAAACATTTAGCACGAAAACCAACGCTGACCTAATACCTTTAAGAAAAATAATACAAAGTGATAAAACATTTACTGGGTTATCAGATGTCGGCATAAATATTGCATTTTAAATTAATACAATAAACATAACGACAACAATTTCCGAGATGGAACTTGCAGAAATATATAAGACCTTCCCACTACAAGTTCATTTTACAAACAAACTTTGTGTTAACAACGCATAAAATTGACATAGGCCCTTTCTCCGTTTAGATTTAGTTAAACTTCCACTGTCACGAAGTCTTGCAGTAAAACTGTGAGAACTGGTAATACAAACAAATTTATGGAATAATTTAAACGTTAATTGTGCTCCATACTATGCCTCGGTCGATAAAAACGAGAATGTGCATATGCCATGCTTACATAGTGCAGGTTCTCGGGAAACAAAATTAACCAGCGTTAAATGAGCGTTACAATGTGAGATTTGAGGTTTACACACTTTGTGAAGTTGTAGATGGTAGGTGTACCTACAAGACCAGAAAACCACAACCGATAATATCAGAGCAACGTTTCGTTATCAGAGTATCTGCATCATCGCTTGACAAATATGAATCAACATAACTGTAAAGTTGTAGGAATCACGCGTTACACTCGAAGAGAATAATCTTATATTTCCTTAATTCTCCTGCATTCTCTATTATTTGCATATACACAAGGGTGCAGAAGCCAAGACACACTGGTCATTAAAATTTGAAAAGTTACTTCACCGTGTAAGCCGGATATTTTGAATTCAAGAAGTAAACGTATTTACGTAGGCCCTTGTAAATTCACAGGACTGAAAAAAATATATTGTGGTGCGATTCTATTTAAAGTGTGTCCAGACTTCTTCACCAGTCTGTGTATCAGACAGCACAGCCTGAACTTCGTAATTTGTAAATACGATATTATTGCAGTCTATCTGCTTTAAAATTTAGTTTATTGACATGCCTACACATCACATTATCAATTAATATTGTAAATGTGGCTTCATGTGTTCATAACTTTGGCATTAGATTGAATGTAATGGCCACACTCAATCTACGGTAGCTTCGTCCGTGTGAACCAAGAATCTGGTACCTATTAGCTAGGAGGCTACACGAGCGTCACAGACGATCAGAAAACAGAAAATGTCTGTGTCCATCAGCTATCACGGTTCATTATCCATAAAAATACTTTAAAGAATTGCCATAAAATTATATTGATTAATCTGTTGTCATCTTGTTATATCCTGTCTAATTCCATTATGATAATATTTCATGTCCAAAATACGTCATCTATTAGGCTATTCATAAATTAATGTTAGTTCCTTCACGTTTGGGTTTTAACTTACCATCTCTGACACACTTATGTATACATATGCTAATTTAAGCCTGTCTATAACAATCTAAGTGATTACGACTAACTTCTTGATTAATTAATTCATGGGTTATTTAATGACAGTATTGCAACTGTACAGGTTATGTGACGTTAATGAATTGAAAATGATGCGAGGGGAAGTGTTAGTAGACAACATCAAGAAAGATCCCAATATTTTCCTGCATAAATTTCCAATTCGAGTTACAAAACCTGAACCTCCCGAATATGAATTACTAACAACTCTTCCACAAAGTTCTATTGTTCCTCTATAACTGTAAATATTTTTATTTATACTTGTATTCTTCTCTGTGATCGCCCCATACAACAAACGTTTACCATCTACTCAGATCGGTGAGTAGCTTAGTTGATCCATTATATGAAAATATCTGGACACGACCTCCAAAAAACTACACTACGAAAAAATTGTAAATAATTGTAATTGAGTTTTAAATTTAATATAATTTTACACCTGATGATGGTTTAATAAAACCGAAACATGTTTTTTGGAGGTCGTGTCCAGATATTTTCATATGAATTGTAAAAAATTGTAATTGAGTTTTAAATTTAATATAATTTTACACCTGATGATGGTTTAATAAAACCGAAACATGTTGTAACTGTTCCAATTGTAAATCGATTATTCGATATGGAACACAGAATGATATTTTAATTATTTTAATTATCTTATTTTAAATACATTGTGATTTGACGGAATAACCAAATAATTTAATTTTAGCTTAGCTTTGTATCTGCATCAGTGTAAACGTCGCGTTGAAATTCAACAGGAAATGGTTATTATATTTATTATTACCTCCGTCTGTATCTCTTCTCCAGCTTTCACCTATATTAATTTCGCATCCTGTAACTTCAACGAAACCATCATTATAACTGCTTCTGATGACCTTGGGGGCCTACGAAATACGAAATAGGAGTGCTAACCACTTGAAAGCTACGTACTGTACATGTTATCGAAGTCTTGTTCAGCTATCAACAACATCCCTTATCGAGTTTAAAAAACATGGCTGTCTTCAGGATTGTTAAGCGTGATAGTCATCTTCATACTTGTCACAGCAAGAAACGAAAATCTCACGAGTTTAAGAAATCGATTGCCATCTTCTCTCTAAAGTGCACATAAAGCCTTTAAGAGGAAAAAGCTCGTGTTCACAACAACAAGATTCGGTTTCTGAGTTATAAGGCTCTTTCTCACAACTGCGTAGCACGTGAGACAGTGAGAGAAACTGATGCCAACTCTCTTTTCCAAGTGTGGGCGGACGGACGGACGCCATGATGAATGCAGCAACAAATCGCAGTCTAATAGAACCGAGCTTAAGATAAAAGCAAAAATGTGAACTACCTACGGTGCTCATTTATTGTAACTTCGTTATGAGATTTTACGTACGAATTAGATGTCAAAATGGGCCGACATTCAAACAAATCAAATTATCTCAACAATTATTGGTTTATAATACCGAAACCAATCTTTATCTAAATCTGTCCATAGTTTCTGTGAAGCACACGGGCTGACGGACGTGCATGGTAAACTTTTACGTTCGTTTTATATATTCCGCGCAAAGATTACAGCAGTCAAATATATCGGCTTATACATTTCTCGAGATGTGTTATATGACCCGTACAATTTCCTTTTCAGCAACTGATACGAGAATCACATTCATTCCCAAACCCAAACTTTTCCACCGAAGGGCGTGAGAACCGTGTTCGCCACGTCAACGCTCTCATCTTGTATCTGGAGGAGCGCGGTGACGTAACCAACGTCACTATACAACCGCACAACTGCCATCCATGCGAATGTCTGGTACGTTTCGTTGCATTATGCATGTCAGAACCTTAACACAAAATGGTACGGGCCAGAACATTATCTAGTTGTCATCGCATGAAAACATCGGAGTATCTGAATCTGGTAACCAAAGTCTCTGTCTGCATTACCAATTTGCAGGTCTCGTAATTTCGATAGGAATTACGAGACCTAGACAAGAAGGAAAATAAAAACTTTTTATATAATTTCCAATTTTATATTAAGCCTAAGCATTTTAATAACGTGCAAGTAATGAATTTAAATTCGGAAGCTACATGTTATTTGAGCACGCCTAAAATTACGAAAGGTACATAAATTAAAAATTTAATACTTATCCAATCTGAATGTTCAGTGCTTTTAAAACAGAACTATTTATGAGTCAGGAATACATAACGTAACACAGTAATTAAGTACTCAATAACAATTACAAATAATATCGTAGCTCGGTTCTGTTCACATGTGACGATGGTGCGTTGTTGAAGTGAACAGTTTTCTGGATATTATCCATCGTCCAATACTAAATAAAATGAATAAAATCCACGACGTTTCGGAAATGAGACTCTATCTCCGTCTTCAGATATACCCACTCAGTTGGGCCCAATCGATAGAGCTAATTCCTATCTCCGAAACGTCGTGGATTTTATTCATTTTATTTAGTATTGGACGATGGATAATATACAGAAAACTGTTTACTTCAAATAATATCGTATTTATACTTTAGCAAACACCATCATGTGAATGTACTCCATCCCTATATGAACAAAACCTACAATAACGTAATTATTAGCCACCACGGTGGTCTAGCGGTCAGAACACTAGCCTTGCAATCCTGGGGTTCCGGGTTCGATTCCCGGCGGTGCCCGAATTTATAATTTGTGTTGAGCATTACGGAGTTTTCCTCCGGGGGCTTCCCCGGTTTCTCCGTGGCATCCCAACAATTACTCCATTCACACACAGAAGAAGGCAATGGCAAACCACTTCTGATCATCTGCCAAGAATGTATATATGTATGAGCAGGGCCCTGACAACCTGAAGAGGATGGAAGGAGCCTGTTCATAATATATGGACCTGTCGTCAGACAGAACACTAATAATAATAAAAAATGTAATTATACATTCATATTATGCCTGTTTTCGTATACATGAATTTCCTAGAACTTCCTACAACCAACCTCTTGGAATATCATTTGCTTCTACTACTGAACTGACTTGTATGTCATACGTAAAATCTCGCGTAGAATCACATGCCTCTTATCACAAATATCCCTTTAGTGTTTCACAGAATCCTCTGCTGTCGTTATTAAGCATTGTAATGAATAAACGTACACAGAAAAGGTTAAAGGAAAAAGTATGACCTTGAAGCCTACCTTCAGAGCTTCCTCGTGGGAGATGGTGGAAAAGGGTGTTCCGTTGACCTCGAGAATGGTATCTCCGGGCCGCAACCCAGCTCTTTCCGCCACACTGCCCTCCTCCACCCTCGAGATGTAAACCCCGACTCCTGAAATGGGTACCAGCTTTAATAGGCCTGTGAGACAACTGATGTCAGAGACTGTCTAATGGAATGATGGAGTTGTTACTTCCGTTTCCTGTCACCAGCCATTAAACTTGGTGGCGAAATATTGTATTATTAGGTGTGTTGTTGCTGCCTGTGCAGTCTGTCAGCTCATCTACATCTTTAATAAGGAGCATATTTCGCTTACGTATATTATTTAGCCCATTTACTTGTCGTCAGTCGTTTTTCTTTCTTTTTTCTCTTTTTTTGTATTATATAATACTTAATAAATAAACAATTGAATTGAGGAAATTATTGTATTTTTCCTTTTTCTCAATATTTTGAGTACTTCATTTTGTAAGTTTTTGGTTTTTTATTGTTTGTTTTTATTTAGTATTAATATTTTATTTTGTGTGTAATCTATGTATTGTTTTATAGTTATTGACTTGTTTTGTGCCTGACTGTAATTGGCCTTGTCATGCACACTAATAAATGAATTGAATTATTATATTACTTAGGCATATTATTTAGACCAATTACTTGTGAATTATTATTCAATAAATTGATTTAAATTATTATTATTAAAAATATGGTACATTTATATATTTAGTTCCATTTATTTGTTTGTATTTGTAATGTTTTACTTTTATTATTATCGAAATTGTATTATATTTCATCCTGTACTGTTGTTTAGTGCTACAACCCAGAAGACAGCGATAATATATTATTGTATTTTATGAATGGGACTGGTGTATTTTAATAAGGTTTCACAAAAAAAATCATTTAAAATTTTAAACTGCTGTTTACAATAAACGCAAATGAAGAATTATGACTCGTCGTCCCAAGATGGAGTCTATCAGCCCTCCTGATGACCGTGTTGGTTGTTTAAATAGGTGGTCCGATAGATTCCTCTAAGTTTAGGGTTACATCTTGCCCGCAGGGTTCCATAATATCACCATCTCCTTTTGTAATAATAGCGTTGTTTATGTTCACAATTATTACCGTAATCATTATCATTACTGATATTATTTATTTGTGATTTATTTAACAACACTGTCAGAAACTCAGACTATATAGCGTCACATAAAATTTTGATTAATGTATAATGGATTGGTAAAAAAACAGAAAGAATGGAAGTAAAACCATATTATACAAGGTCTACCACAAAAAAAAACCAGACAGTGCCTGTAACTCTTTTTATTTAACAAATTCAGAAAATCAACTGCGATCGCCTTCAAAATAGTTCCCTTCTGAGTTAACACACTGCTGCAAACGATGCAACACTATTCGTTGCGACGTTCTTTTTGATCATCTGACAGAATTTTTGGAACCATTTTTGCACAAACCTTTGTCATATTCAAATCTTCCCTTAGAATTCGTCGAACACTTTCCTTGTCCAAATTGACTTTCTCAGCTACTGCTCGAACACTCAACCTTCGGTCTTTTCGAATCACATCTCGCACTTTTTCAATGTTGTGATCGGTAACAGCTGTGCGTGGACGTCCTGGGCGATTATCATCTTTCACGCATTCTCTGCCTTCCGAAAATCGTTTGTGCCATTCAAAAACGCGTACACGAGACATGCAATCTTCACCGTAAGCCTCAGTCAATAATTGAAAAGTTTCCGTCGCTGATTTCTTCAGTTTAACTAGAAACTTGATGTTAACTCGTTGTTCACTTTTGCAGTCAGACATTTTCCAGCCGAGAGTAAAAACACATCTGTACAAAAATACTAGTCCACTGCTACTGAGTGAATCAAACAAGTTGAAACTTGCGTCACTGGTAGAGGACAGATCAGGGTCAAATATGTTCTGCTTATTTCGCCTTCACCATAATTGTTTGCCTACTTACAGCATCAGTCTCGATATTTTTGTGGCAGACCTCATAATTATAGTTCCGCTCTCACTACACGCAGTGTTGATTTATTCAAATTCACAGATCGACAAAATAGAAAACTGCTAACAATTTGGTTTCTGACTTGTTTAAATATGTAAGCTTCCTGAGCATGTAGTTTGCCACTTCTTCTAAGATCTTACTTTTCAAGAGAATTAACATTTTTAACCAAAACAAACAACACACAAACTGATTTTTGTCATGCGCTACTGATCAGTAATCTCTCCCCGTACCTAAGCGATACATCATCAGTGAAAACTGAGGCAAAACTCCACGCATTCATAACCCCAACACCAGATGGATAGATACGTGGCCAACGTTACGTTGTGAGCCGGTCTTGACGTGGTGCGCTTCGTTACAGCAGAATGAGCAAACGTGGATCCAGCTTTAAGCGAGCTAAAAGTGCGAAGATTTCTCAGGGTAAGACCTGACCAAAAGGAGGGGTGATACAGAATTTGGAAAATTCAGTGGCGGAGGAGACCCAAGGCAGGGGTCGTGAAAATGCTGGCAACTGGGAATATAAATTGCGCATCTTAAATGATGCAGAACCAGAAGTCACAATATGGCACATGCGCACAAAAAATATTGCGAAATTTTAAATCGATGGAATTTCTTGTTTCAGAGTGCTAGCCGGGCTAGTATAGTTAACATGAAAGCTCTGGTTCTGGGAAAATTATGTTAATGATAAACTTTACAACTTTTACCTTTCCTTTAACTTGAGTGGTTAAGAAAAGAATGATGAAATAAGGAGGACAGGTACAAATAAAAATGTATAACAAAATCTGAGTGAAAATCCTTAACAGAAGACAACACTCGATTACTCCTAAGACTAGCCTATAAGATAGGGTCAGAATATAAACTGACTTAACTCAATCAGGATACTTTCGAGTGGCAAATTCTTGTAAATACGGTCATCAATCTACAATTTCTGCAAATTAATGGGCCCGTACTCTATTAAGAAAATTACAGAATGTACGAAGATTGTAGAATTAGGGGGTCACTGAAGAATGTTTGTACAAACCTGGATGTAAATGAACTAAACTAGCAAGACATAGGTGAACACAGGGAAGGGCAGATGTCTTCGTACAGAAACAATGTCTGTGTAAATAATTAGCTTCAGAGACAACTGCGTCAGGCTTTATATAGAACTCAATGAATAGAACGAATGGAAAGGGGACCATTCTCTAATAAAAGATCAACGCGGACGTTAATTTTTTTCCAGTTTCAGGTCTGGGTAACGTTAGAAAAAAAATCAGCACAAAGATGGCAGTATATAAGCACCATCATGCAGGAAACTAAATAGAATATAGCCAAAATAATAATAATAATAAATACATCAGTGATAAAAATATATTACAGAAATCACAACAACAAAAGAATGAAAAGTGTAGTATACAACTCACCGTCGACATCTGTCAGTTTCCGAAGCAAAGGAGAGAAAACAATGTTTGAGACACAGCATCACAAATATTACCAGTCCTCCTACATTTGGGCGGTGGCAGAATGAAGGGGTAAAAGGGAAATGTTGTTTTACCAGCCTTCAGATTATTGTAAATCTTACAAACTACAGTAACACATCCTTTACCTGTTCATGAGATCTCGAGAATAGTCAAAATTCGGAATCTGTTTTTAATTCTGTTACGTCGCATACTACGGATAACCTGGTTACCATGGTAACAGGAAATTGTGGCCTAATGCTGATGTATTCCGTCTATTCGTATTTCTCATTGTCGATAATTGATAAGGATAATGAACGGTGGGTCGGAAGACGTGATAAACACTGTGCCACTTGCTTTAAGAACCAATAACTGAGCATTTTGTATTTATAGGTCATGTATGATGCTCTAAGTAAACAGCAATTATTTACTTAAATAGCATTAACCAATCGATCTTTGTAATGAAGTGTTGTATTTTCTTTGGGGTGCGGACTGATTTCTTATATATTATTTACTTTTAGACAAACCTCAGCCTCAAATAATTAAATAATAATGGTTCGTACTAAAATCACCAGGGAACTTACAATTTAAACACATCTCTTCTCTAATATTACGATCCGTATAAGACTACGAAGAAATGGCGAAACAATTAACACAGGCAACAGAAATATTAACAGTATTATTTTTTTGGTTTGAAAATATAAATTACGCCTGTTCCGAGAAAATAAAATTAAGAATGAAAAATAACTATTCTCTACTACGATAAAACAATCTTCTTTCCTTAATGCATCTGTGAAGTGTGGTAGAAGTCATCGCTCTGATGACAGAGGCAGCATGGACCTTTAAAACGCTGATAAACTTCTACCAGGCTACATAGTGCTACAACCCACAAGACAGCCATCTTAAACTATGGTTACTCCCAAACTATCCATTAGGACTTTCCCCAGTTGCAAATCGGCCAGAGCGTCAGACTGACTACTCTCTTCCATTTAGTGTCCATGTGTACAATGCGTAGAGATTTACCTCCATGCTCCTACACACCTTCATGTCTCGGTGCTCAAGTATAGGATCAAATCTTCCCATACAAGCACGATTACTTGGAGTATGTTTGTAATACCAGGTAAAAATATTTTTAATTACACAATTTTGTATAATATTTCTTATAATATATTCTATTTCAACTTACATCTGACAAAAGTTATAAATTGAGGAAAATAAAACTCTTTTACGTATTTCGTCTATAACTATTCCAACAGAGCTTTAAACCAACGTCACTATACACTCGAGAGCTTTTAACTGCGGTATAAGCTTAACGGTTCTCCTTTGTTCCAAGCTTCCACTATCAGATACCTCGTTAAAGGAAAACTGTCGCTTATAACTTGGTATTCCCACTGAGCGAATATCAAACAGTGAAAGGTGTTTTGATCAGAAAATGGATTTGTTAAGAGACGCGTGGCATTCAAGTACCATTCACTGAGTTTCCAGTACGTTTTACGAAATGCTACATGAATTTACGTAACCGAAAACTAAGTATTATGTTTATTATACATACTAGCGTAGAATGATCAGTCAAAGTTAAGGGGAATTAACGTTTTCTGTGTTAAATTACATCTTATTGCAGCTTTATCTTTGTAAGTCGCATTGAAAATGCTAAGTTTAAAAACGTTTTGAACAGTAAATTAAATGTGAAAATACCTCCAAGGCGACTGTGGCCAAAATCCTGCCAAATGTACCAAAACAAAACCGGCCGCCTAACTCCTATCTCCCGTCAAACGCAGACCCCTCCATAAACTCGTTTGTGTTTCGTGCTACCGGACCTGCCATCATCAGAACTACCTTCAATTTTTCTCTGCATCTCACAAACGACGCACATGAGGGACACTTTCTTGATGCTAATGTACCGTCATATTTAACTGCTTCGTAAGACTGTGTTCAAAAAAAATGTTAAACAATAAACACACCCTGCAATGTTGAAAACGTCACGATGCTTGTTACACAAACAACTGAATAGAGCGACGAATTCAAAAACAATCTGTGTCAAACCACCGACTTGTTGGAGTGACAGTAAACAATGTCGCCATTGTGCATAGAAAATTTAATTTTTCCTAAGAATAACTTAATATTTGTGTAAATTTTGGGACACCTCACAATAAATGTTGACCACTTTCCGTCAAGAATCACACTTCTGTAACACTGATGAATCGCCCTGTACAAAGTACTTCATAAAGGGAACATACAACTGATATTTGTTTCTTCGTATTAAGTTAGGTTCGTTAGTACTCCAATTAGATAGCAATACATCGAAATATAAATACGTTAAAATCTTTGGCACTAACCGAAATGTTAGACAAAAAAGAAACAAGTAACTTAATATTTGTCGCAAAAATGTACGTTAGTTACTTACTGTACTAATACCTAGAGCAAATATGAAGTATAACATCGTTCAGTATAAGAAAATAATTTTAATTTATTTAGAGGCTATAATCTAATATACGAAGAGGGCTAAATACAGTTTCTTTCTCAAACGTGAATATAAACCTATATATATATATATATATGAAGTTAAATTCAGTCTAAATGTCCCAAAGATATTGATATTTAGGGTCCAACATGTTTTAACATCATCATTGCATTATTAGTTACATAATTCTCCTTCCTCAGTGACTTTCAATGACAACGGTTCTGGAAGGAGATCTGAAGAAGAGGAATTCTCTGGAAACGAGCTCTCAGAGGGATATCATTCCTAAAGAATAACGAAATGTTAGAAACCATGGGGGGATGTAGAGTGACATCCCACGATACCAGATACAAACGATACAGAAGCACACTACGAAGTTCTGGGGAGTGGCTTGGCAGAACGTCAGAGCCAATATCAATCTAAGGAAGTGAAATTCGCTCACTGTTTACGCAATCTCCTCACAAATTTCTTCTGTCAAGACTAACCTTGTTACTCTGAAGCTGTATTGTTCCTGACACGTAATATTGTCATATAAATCTGCGGTGTGGGATGACGATAATGTCATACGCAACAAAGTGCCGAGATTTGTACGCGAATTGTCCAGTAGGCCACTAATCCCTATGACAGAATCACAAGTAGACTGCGTGTCTAATTCTTATGATGCTGATAGTGGTCTTATGGGTTTTGATAATGTGTGGTCTTGTAAGTGTATACCGACATCTTCAGAGTAACACGGAATAAGAACGCAGAAGACCATTATCAATATGTTCTTCACCGTAAGAGCCTCAATATTTAATATTTTTAATATTTCATTCCAATATGCGTTCAAATACGACGGTGAAAGTACCTTTTTTTTTTACCAAATCGCAAAGTTGTTCTCTGAGAGATCCGGACCTACGGTAGCAATAAGGCTGGCGTAAGATAACAGACGCAGTGCATCACTACCGACCCCACTTTTCACATCTCGTACCTTCCCACCCCCACCCCCATTCACTGTGCAATATAAAATTACAAATGAGAAGTTGAACAGTTTTTGAAGAATGTAATTTTCTAAACTGGAGACCATTATGGTAAAAACTGGCCTGATGTTAGAAAACATTAACGCATATTTCTACCCCTTTGATGTCACTTCACCATGGTGGTCGGTGGATCTCGTATCCCGACCAACTCACCCTCCGCCCCCTGGGCCAAACCAGCTAAATAAATTAACATCTTAACTGTTCTAAATCATAAATGTAGTACAAAATAATTTATCTGCCTTGCCTCAAGCTTACACTTACAGAAACTATATTTATTTTCTAAATTGATACCCTGGCCAGTAAACGCGCTCAGGTTCAGGCCATTGACTTACAAACCTGCCTATCTGGCGTGCCACTTCTTCATCTTGTTCATGACCCAGAACTTGCAATTCACACAACCACCTAATACTCGTGGGTAAGAGATCAATGTCCTCGTCTACATATTTATTTATTTATTGAACGTGTTCTGAAATTTGACGATTATGGCTTTGTTTGCTAGTGAAAGGGTTTCCTGCGGTCGGAGAACTTACCCGAATCCTTCCCGCCCTTAACGCAGATCCCGAAGCCGTGGGATGTCTCCGGAGGCCGCATCATGTTGACAGTCCGCACCACCAGGTCCTGGTGCATGTTGAGATTATGGTGGTGCTGCTGCGGGCTGCTTGCGGGGCTGGACACCGCGCTTCTCCTCCCTACCGCCGCGTGGTGAGTCATCTTGTTGCTCGCACTGCCGCCGCCCCCCGACCCAAAGTACCTCAGCACCTGTTCCGGGGATATGGGCGGTTTCTTTCCGTTCGAACCCGCGTGGTGGTGGTGGTGGTGGTGATGGTTCGCCCGGGCGTTGTTGAACGTGGCGGAGGAACCCAGATACGTGCCGCGCGGGTGCTTGCCCGGAGTGGGAGCGGTGGTGGGACGTTCCACAATAGTGTAGGAAGTTCCGGGTGGGGAGTAGTAAAGGCCCGATCGCCCGCGGGAGGAACCGCCTCCCCGGGAGTACAGTATGTCCTCTGCCTCATAACTCCCCGCTCGGTGGGAGGGCTGGTGAGGGGGCTGTGACGAGAAGCGGGACGTGGAGTTGTGAAGGTGGTGTGGGCTGTTAATGACGCTGACACTGCCCCCGCCTGGACTCCGTCCCCAGCGGCCACCATACTGAGACAAGTTGATCTCTGCCAGTTCACCGTACTCTTCCTCGTCCGCCATCCAGCGTCACGTGACCACCTGCATACACACCGTACGGACATTCATTACAAATTTCAATGGTGCCTAACAAAGTTCTGTGACAAAAGTCCCGTTAACCCTTTCGATGCTGGTTCCTATTAAAAAAACATTTTCTGTTAATGCATTTCTATGGTAGTTCTACTTTCCAGAGGTCATGGATCGTCGGATTCAACAATAGGTTTACGTTCCTGCCTCTGATCGTCCCAACTACTACACAAACCTAGATCATAACAGCCAATATTTATGTAGGATTTGGGGTTTCCACAGCGATGAGTCTGAAGATACTGTCTTCTGGTTCTGAAACGTTGGTGGACGTCCACCATACTACACGGCGCAACAACCCAGAAGACAGAAATCTTGTAAAAATATTTATTTGTTTTGAGCAAAATCAAGTAAATACTTGAAAATCACGCGTGATTCAGAGCTACAGAATATGACAAAGTTACATTAACGCATGGAGCCGGGATAGCTCAGTCAGTATAGTGACTAGCTACGGGCTGGACGGCCGGGGTTCGATCCCCGACGGGGGCAGAGGATTTTTCCTCTGGCCTCTGCGTCCAGACCGGCTCTGGGGCCCACCCAGCCTCCTCTACAATGGGTACCGGGGTCCCTTCCCGGGGGTAAAGCCGGCCGCGGCGTGATGCTAACCACTCACCCCCATCTAGTGCCGAGGTCAAGAAAGGGAGGAGCTACACCTCCACTCACCCCAAGCGCCTACATGGCGTATAGTGGGACAGCTTTACATTAACGCAATGATGCGCAGGTTTAGGAAAAATCATCAGTAAATTGTGCCACTCTTCCATTGAAACTGACGTTTGATTGTTTTCTTCTTTAGATAAAATATTAGACGCTTTATAATTCTGCTTTGCGTTATCAATAAGGGCAGGGCGGGCATGCAACAAGTGATCAAGTCAAAAGAACGGCTCCATTGTACCATGTCGAGGCTACAAACGCGTGTAATGATGGAAATTTGCGTGAGGTAAGCCGCCTTGTTATCACAGAAATGCAAACGAGAATAACAAAGAAAAGTGTAGAAGAGACCAAGTGGAAAATTCGTAAAAAATGCTGACACACAAAATAACGTTTATGTTGGTACCATTGATACAAATCAAATAATTTGAGCTGTCACTGTGTGACCCCAAAAAGTTTTCAACTCATGATCAAAGCATTATTATTCATTAATAAATCAATTAGACTAAATAAAGTCACAGTTTCGCATATAGCGGACCTTGTGCTCAGCATTTGGAAAGGATGCGACTCCAGATAAAAATAACTAACAGCTAAAAGCTACAACTGTCTTTACCTCCGAAAGATAAATCAGTTACTTTTCCAATCCTAGGATGGACTACACCCGGACCTATTCGGTAGAAGTTAGAGTAAAAACCTAAACTTAATGCCTGGAAACGAATTAAGGTTATCTAATGAGCAGACCGTTCGCCACGGTGGTCTAGCGGTCAGAACGCTGGCCTTGTAATCCTGGGGTCTCGGGTTCGATTCCCGGCGGTGCCCGAATTTATAACTTGTGTTGGGCAAGGCAACACGGAGTCTTCCTCCGGGGGCTTCCCCGGTTTCTCCGTGGCATCCCAACAATTACTCCATTCACACACAGAAGAAGGCAATGGCAAACCACTTCTGGATCATCTGCCAAGAACGTATGTGAACAGGTCCCAGTCCGAGAAAAGGATGGAAGGATCCTGTTCATATGGACCTGTCATCAGACAGAACACTAAATAAATAATAATAATGAGCAGACCGTGACTTTCTGCTTATTGTAGTGCAAGTCAACTTCATGTTAACTATGACTGAATTAGTTATAAAGCAGGAGTGAGCAATTATGTTTAATCGGAGGCCGGGTGGCGCTATGAAATATGGCGGAGAACTTCATAGCCAACAAACAGGTCGCATATTTTGTGCTGATAGCTGATGTTACTGTGACGTAATCAATGCTGACGAAACAGACAAGACATGTAACAGACAAGGGGCAAATGCCAAAGTAAACACAGTTTTTACTTGGAGAACATGACGTAAATTACCAGCTTAGAAGACCTAGGCTTAGATAGAGGATAACATTAAAAAGTTATTATTAGACAAATAAGATGTAGAAGTGTTTTTAAATCCGAATTACTCAATACAGGAACCAATTCCTAGCATTTGTGAAACATTTATGTTTTATAAAAGCAAGGAAATTATTTACCATCTCCGTGACTGTCACTTTCTCAAGGAAGACCGTGCAACATCGAGTTGGTTTCAGTCTTTTATATTTATACTGTCTGAAATCAAAGATTGGGGGCAAAATTTGGGTGATTTACAGACAAAATAGCCCCATATATACACAAGTACTAATAAACCCTGCGGCCTTATCTTCTGCACAAAATACACGAAAGTGGGCCGTTGAAAGCTGTTAAAGAATTTCCCAACAAACACGAAAATAATTTATATCCAATGCACGCAATCTCCGGAGAGATAAAACTGGATTATGTACGCGCGAGGGTAGATATTAACATTTGCACTATGTCTTCCGTGTAACGGTTTATTGATATTGATAGTGATTCCCGTTTTAGCAAATGTTTGAACACTGTTGTTTTCGAAATTACGATAATCTCGATAAATGTAATCGTTTAAATATAAAAGTTCTGTTATTAATGGTTACCACATCCGTACCTGTAGTCTACCAATGTCTTTGCCTATACGAAACTTCTCATGTTACAAACAATTTTAGGATTTATGTAGTTTTCCCCAAAATGTCTAGGAAATTTATATGATAGAAGAGCTATCTTAAAATAGGTCGTGATCATATACTTACAGGCTTGGCGTATGTCCAGTCAAAGTTGACGAGAATTATTCTTTGTCCTGAACAGTTACACAATTTATTATAGCATTAGCATCAGAAATCTTTTCGAAAGTACATTTGTAACATTTCTTTAAAATGTAAATTAAAAGCGGAAGAAAACTTCACAGCAACCAAAAGGTCAGCAAAAGTCTACCATACCACATGACACAACTAAGATGACAATCATTTTCATATTTTCCGCCGTGAGATCCTGAAATCTCATCTAGACTATCATTCGTAGTATTGCCAACAGAGGCTGAAGACATTCTGTGTATGGATCAATCACAAAATTATATGATACTTAAAAAAATAATTTTAATTTTACAGATTGGACAATTCAATGCCTGCGCCGTAGTTAAAGTATATTTATGTCAGCACTGAAGACTTTTAATCCTTTCAACGCTAGGCACGAGATATCTCGATTAGAAGTATGGGCTCTTCAGGTATGACGTCTTTTGTGTTTGGAAGTAACAAGGTAAGAACACCTTTCGCTGTCAACAATTAGTGCCAACTACTTGTGATGTTTCAACAGCATAAATTATACGTCCTATGGTCCTGTTAATAAGTCACGGTGGTCTAGCGGTTAGAACATGGCCTTGTAATCCTGGGGTCTCGGGTTCGATTCCCGGCGGTGCCCGAATTTATAACTTGTGTTGAGCAAGGCCGTGGTCTAGGCAACACGGAGTTTTCCTCCATGGCATCCCAACAATTACTCCATTCACACAGAAGAAGGCAATGGCAAACCACTTCTGGATCATCTGCCAAGAACGTATATGAACAGGTCCCAGTCCGAGAAAAGGATGGAAGGATCCTGTTCAAATGGACCTGTCGTCTGACAGAACACTAAAAAAGATGGTCCTGTTAGCGAAAGAAGAAATCTTTAAGCAAAAGTAGTACACAGAAGACTTTTTAAGCACGCAGCCCCAATAAACTAAAATTTAAATTCTGAAGCAGAGAAGAACTTTAAATCGCACATCTATTCAATATATATATATATATATATATATATAGTGTCCCGAATCTTACGTCAGCTACGAGCACGTGTTTTCTCAGGGACACAAAAACTGTGACAGGTAAAAGTGACTGCGTTCGAACATACGATGCAATAAATTACGAACCTAATGTCAGGCAAACGGCGACTCATCAGCACTGTGAAAGAGATACAGTTTCGAGGATCGTCTAACTTCATTGTGCGCAAAGACTTCCCAAGTTCAAAGAACAGTGGCAATGGACGTACAGGGTGCGTAGGAGCTGAAGAAAACCACAGCAGAGGAAATTTAGATAAAGAACGAGAAACAGTGGGATAAAGTACAGAAGGATAATTCGAAAGAGCGAAGAGGATAAAAAAGAAGAGGAAATGAGAACAGGAGAGAGAATAAGGAATAAACAGAATAAAATTTTAATGAGATAAAGGAATGTGAGGGGGAATGATAATGAAGAGCGAATAAGTAAATAAAATGAGATTAAAATTACGATACAGAAGGTAAAACACGAAAATAAGCGATAAAGAATGTAGGGAATAAAGTTATAACAAAGTACGAGAACAGGAAGAGGCAGAGTACAATTGAAACAAAAACTGCAAAGCAAAAACGCAAATTAAAAAGAACAAATTATTTAACTGCCAAGTAGAAGAACAACAAGAAAACACATCCATTGTCCTATGATAGTTACTTAGCTTAGTCACTTAAGTAATTCGTAACTTTAAAAATAATTAACTGCCAGCCAGGGCTGTGAAGTCAGTACTAAAACCTCTGAATCCTTCATAAAAGCTCCATATGTATTAATATTATACTAAAATGGTAAATGGCACCATAAGAGATTTCATCACAACCACGTGAATCATCAGGCTACTTTTTAGACTTATAACCTATATTTAAATATAAGTCTAATGGTTATTGCAGAAATCGGTTGATTTGCAGACAGTTTGTATTCTTAAGGTACCAGAGCCAAAGTTACAAAGAATTATTCCCACACCATGTGGCTCAACGCGTCGTCGAATCTCCCTAAGCGTTAGGCCGGAGTTGGAGTCGGTACATTTTTACCGACTCCGGCCTAAAATTGCTTCCGACTCGGACTCCACAGCCCTGGTGCCAGCTACATAAAGTATTCTGGAATGCCCTTTAAACCGCAAAGGTGAAGAATGATGGCAAATATCAGCATTTTTTATGAG